CAACCTGATTTGCAGAGGAGGCCTTCCTCTTTCACAACGCCGACGTGAGTATGAATTGGGCGAATGGCGTCCTTCCTCTGCTTTCTCGTTCTCTTCCTCTCGTACGGATCTACCCTGTTCCTTCTTGAACTCCATGTTCTCCTTCTTTACTTTTAAACAATTCCCTCGTACGAACACCACGCTGATGGGCAAGAAAGGGAAGGACTTCCTCTTTCAGCCAGGGACGTGAGTATGATTGCGATGCCGCGTTCTCTATCCTTATCATTCTCGGATTCTCTTCTCTCCTCATGACTGTCCCCACCACACACACACACCCCCGCCGGCTGTCGCAACCCCCCCCACACTGTTCGGTTCCTCCCGGCCCTCCCTTTCCTTCTCGATCTTACTCATCTTCTTATAACAGTCGCCCTTCAAAATTAACACCACGCTCCATTGCAGAAAGGGAGGGCTTTCTAGCTTGTCAACAAACAAGGACCCGCTAGTAATGGTGCGATGGTCGTCTCCCTTTCTTAGTTTATGTCCTCCCTTCTTTTGACCAACTACTAACTTTTCCTCATTTCTTATCTCTCTCTCCATCTTCTCCTCCATCTCCTCCTCTCTCATCATATCTGTGTCTCTTATCTCCGCTTATCTCTGATCTTTTTCCCTCCCTCTCTTTTTCCTTACCTTATCCCCCTCATGATTCGCCTGTCACATCTGCTTGTGCCTCCCTCGCCTACCCATTTCAGCCCTCTCTTCTGCGTATCAGTCTCCTCTAAATAGTGTTAATCTCCTCTTTCCTGCTACCAGTGCAATCGCCCTTTCAGCGATCATTAACTCTCCACCTTCCTCATTTCTCTGACTACTGATCACGTGAATTAAATTCCCTTTGGCGTCCCACGATCTTAAACTTCCGTGGCCGCGCCAAGCCCCTCTCCTTAGTCGCTCTCACCCGTCTCACCACGTCACACTGCCCTGCGTCCATGATCTACTTACTGGCCATTCTCTCCACACTCCATACCATCTCTCCACTACCCCAACTCACTCCTTGCTCTCTCCTTGCTCGTACGATGATTTGTTCCTGCCGCCTCCGCGCACCCGCGGCGTTGTATTTGTTCATCCAACTCACGAGCTCCGTCCCAACACACCCGACACACCACACACCTGCGCTGTGGCATTGCAAGGAGGGCAGGGCGATCATGAAATAACGTGGAGCAGCGACACATCACTACCCACATCACTTCTACCAGCAGGCCGCACAACATACACTCACTATAACCCGCCCAGCTAAAGGAGAAGGTAGACTGGAACAGCTGGATACACCATCACACACGACACCACCAGGACTGATGAATAACAGCGGTGACGTAAATTTAAGGGGCGAGGGGCGCGGCACACGCTGGTGACGGGTGTCTGAGGATTTGCTGGCGCTAGTGCACATGAACGCTGTGAGCAGATATCTGAGTTCGTGCGAAGGCAGAATGGTGGCTGCAACTACATCATGCGGATCGCATGTATGTTTCGCGAACACGTGTATGGATGTTGTCCCAATTGCAAATCATACTTAGCCTATGCGTTTAGAGACTTGTGTCCTGTAAAGATGGTGCTGTCTCCGCCACACATCGATATATCAGCATGACTATCAGCCATCGGCAGTAAGCAGTGCACACCCCCAGCCTACGCGTCGTCAGACTCTCTCCCGTCGGCGGGTGGTGTTCTGTTTTGACGGAGCTTGGCGAGGAGCGCTGGCGTTGACTATTAGCTGGAGCGCCGTCGGTGTTTGGTGGCCGGTCAATGTTTTAGCACCTGAGTACCGTTAGTCTTTAGCCGGTTGTGCGCTATTGGGCCGGTTGCGGTTACCGTTAACCGCTCGTGTACCCCTTAACTTACCGGTTACCGTCACCGGTCACACCAGGTTACCGTTACCAGCCGTCCAGCCTTAACCCCACCTTACCTCACCTTGCCTCCGTACCCTTACCGTCTAACCTTACGCCGAGTTCACCTTACCTTACTCCCACCTTACCGTTACCAATTACTTTTACCTCACCTTACGTCTTACCTCCACTTTACTATCACCTTACCCCGTCTACCCTTGGCTTACCCTTACCTATAACCTTTCCTTACTCCTTACCCTTTACGCGTCACCTTCACCTTACCATTACAGGGTGCGTTACTCTGTTAGCCGTTACCCTATACCTTACCGTCGCTGTGTGGTTAAATTGTTGTACTAGCTTGCGAGGAGCCTGGCTATATAGCTGGAGGCGTCGGTGTTGGTGGCGGGTTCAGTGGAGCAGGACGACAGACGCTGGGGTTGTTTCCAGCAACTGAGGCAGGCGCGGGAACGGTCCAGAAGTAGCGGTCACTACTGGCAGGCAGGAGAACGGACTGATGGAGCGAGAAGGCCCGAGGTGAGAGCAAATGAAAAGAATTGTTTCATGATCCGATCTGTGGATGCAGGAGCGCCAGCGCGAGATGAGGAGGCGAGATGAGTGAGATTTGAGAGTGGCAGCTTGCGTGTGAGCGAGCGAAAACGGGCCAGGCCGTACATATTCGTGACGGATTACCAGAAAAAAGCTGGGTGATACTTGTCATTGAGGAATGTTCCCAAGCTTTAAATGTGCTATTAATAGGGTTCATAAATAACATATAAATATAATCTTATATTATATATACTGGTCTATGGTCATCGAATATTATGTGCCTTGTGGTTTAGATAGTCATTTAGTTAAGGGTTAGGGTTAGAATTTTATCAATATTAAATGATATCAAAGTTGGAAGCTACTCGATCCTACATGGAGCGTATCCGATAAGCTTAGGAGAGATGGATTTTATCGGCATGTATCAGCTGCTATCTTGGACATAATGTAGTAGTCTAACAGATGTTTCAATATCATGTGGACACAGCGTCTATGTTTCGTGGGCAGAAACGCGCGCTGATGTAAGTATCCTGTGACTTTGGTACGCCGGTGGCTGTAACATCACAGAATTTATTACCATCGGCCTTGCCGTTTTTCGGGTCTGGATAAGTTTGCCGGAAGAATAGCGGTTATTTTGTGTTTGGTGGCTAGGGCCCGTGTTTGTTTGGTCAGATCCAACGGATCTCTGATCACAACTGGAATCGAAACCCGCCTAACGGCTCAAACAAATCGCTAAAACCCATCACTGTCAACTCGGTTCGCGTCGGCTTGGTGCGGTGACCCGTATCCACGGGATGCCGTTCATAACAAAGAACAAAGCTGTGATATGCTGAACGCGCCGGGCCGCCATATTAGAAGAGTACCACCTATCCGATACCACACGTCTCGCTAGCAAGGGGGTGCGGGTTCCAGTTAGATCGAGATGCCGTGGAATCCGACCAAACAACACGGCCCCTAGACTAGAAAGTCCGCGGGGGCACCCACGTTGGTGAGAAAGCGAAATTACAAGTCTTAACTGTTTCTTATCAGAATCGTTAACAGAATTACTGGTTCTTTAAAAAGGTCAATGTGCGGAAATCATTGCTGGGGAATTTTTCGTCTTCGGTAACTTCAACGATAGTTTCCTGTCAAATGTTTGTTCACAGTCGCACAGCCATGTGGCCTATTTACTTCACGTCACGAGAGTATCATAGCACTCTCAGAAAAAATAATGATCAAAAGACAACTATGGACTCATGGTTCAAAATGGTTTCTGGGCAGTACTCGTACAATGCTCTAAACAGAGGAATTGCTCGCGACCTGTGATTGGAGGATAAAATATAGACCCTGCCCGACACTCCGCACCGCATATTGCTATGGGCTATGACCCGGTAAGGAACGTGTACTGAACTATCCGATCATAATGGCAGGCGACGCGGCAGATTTAGAGTTACATTTCTATGAATTCTACGCTATTAATAAAGGACATCGTCTTTTGAGTCACATATTGAAGCGCGATTTAAAAATGTTCCGTAAAATTTAATTAGCAAATATGTACGTGCGGGCTCATGTACCTGGATGTAAACGAAACGTCCACGAATTCTAATTTTATCTCTTCAAATGCAGAAAATTAAGCGGGGTCCCTATATTTTATCGCTGCGGCAATCACAGGGTCGCGAGACCAATTACCTCTGTTGTAGGATGGCATAGTATGTAGCTGTGACTCTAGTGATGATTAACAATGGTGAGCATCCTGTACACTAATTTCCCTGAGCAAACTGTTTCTGTCTGCACTTTTTATACGTACGTGCGAAATCCTGTTATGTGTCTTACCGATATTTGATTCAGCGTTATCATGTGTAAATTGGAGGTACTCTGTGTCAAAATCTGGAAACACTATAAAAAAAATAATAAAAAAAAAATTGAAAAAAATAATAATATCATTGTTTGTTGCAGTGGGGTGGCCAACCGCTGTTAAATATCATCAAGGAAGGAGGCTACGTGAAAGACAAACCCAGGAAACTCAAACAGAGGGCAAGTCCATTATTATTAGTCTTCTTCTTCTGTCTTCGTTCTATCTTCTTCTTCTTGCTTCACTTTCGCCTTTCCCTTCTATGCTTTCTTCTTACTATTTCTAGGTTGGTGTTCGGGGGGATGTAAGGCATGTCTTCATTGAGCGTTGGTTCGACGTAATACTTGTAGATGCTCTGCTGCTCAATGGAAGCGATGTTCTCTGACGACTTGATGCATTCCGTGTTCATCTCCGAGTGAACGCTGCAAGCGTGACAACGCAGGTGGCAGTTCAATAGACATAACGATGTAGGGGGCGCTGTTGCTAGTACAATAATGTAGGAGGCGCTGCAAGTGCGAAAATGCAGGGGGCAGTTCAATAGACATGACAATGTAGGGGTGATGTTGTCAGTTCAATTTTAAGCTGTTGCTAGTCAATTTAGGGGGAGCTTTTGCTAACATGACAATGCAGAGGAGACTTAAACAGATATGACAATGTAGGTGGCGCTTTCGCAAGTACGACAATGGAGGGCGCAGTACAGCAGACGTGACAATACAGCAGGCACTTTCGAAAGTATGACATTCATTGAACGTTGCAATGTCTGCCTGCCGATATTGATACTTAAGACCACAACCTTGATTTGTTTGTTTACTCCTAGAGGTACACACATATTGTTTGTTAGTTAGTTTGTTTGTTTGCTTGTTTATTTATTTATTTATTTGTTTACGCACCTCTGGACGCTGGCGCTGATGTTGCTAAGAAACTCGTCCAGGTCGGACACGGAGATGCTCTCATGGCCCATCTTGTAGAAGGAGCAGATTGTTTGTTTGTTTGTTTGTTTATTTGTTTGTTTGTTTATTTGTTTGTTTACCTCTGGACGCTGGTGCTGATGTTGCTAAGAAACTCGTCCAGGTCGGACACGGAGATGCTCTCATGGCCCATCTTGAAGAAGGAGCAGATTGTTTGTTTGTTTGTTTGTTTATTTGTTTGTTTACCTCTGGACGCTGGCGCTGATGTTGCTAAGAAACTCGTCCAGGTCGGACACGGAGATGCTCTCATGGCCCATCTTGAAGAAGGAGCGGATCGCGTGCAGGTATCCTAGCAACGGCTCGAGCATCGAGCAGCTGCGCTTGTACTGCAGCTGATTGAGGGCTCCATAGTAACGAAGACCCGTCTGCGATGAAAGAGAGAGAGAGAGAGAGAGAGAGATGAGGTCAGACGGAGTATCGGTTTTTTTACGAGTGAGTTAGTAAAACTGTAAAACTGCGATCGTGTATTTTATTTACATTAATTTCACGCCGCCTGATTGTGACATTGTGTATGTTGTTTTGGAAAACTGGTGAGCAATATTATGAACCTATTATCCATCTCATCTAATCCACCCATCCCTCCATTCATCCTTCTATCCATCCATGCACCCCTCCAATCGTCCGTCTGTCCATCCGTCCGTCCATCCAATCGTCCGTCCGTCCGCCCGCCCAACCGCCTGCCCGTCCCTCCGTCCGTCCATCCATCTATCTATCCGTTTGCCCATCCATCCATCCATCTAGATTAGTAACTCGTATACGTCACAGTTATGTGACAGGTATGACAGTGACACCTGGTGGTACTTCTTGCGGAACACAAACACATCCTCGTTGGCGTCTGCAGCCAGCTTCTCCGTGTACTTCTTCTTAGAGAGCCGGCAGAACCTATCCATCGCCTTCTCATGCTCTGAAAGTAGCAAGTGAGAGAGTTTCTATTAAATTAAGCTATGCACTCTCTCTCTCTCTCTCTCTCTCTCTCTCTCTCTCTCTCTCTCTCTCTCTCTCTCTCTCTCTCTCTCTATATATATATATATATATATATCTCCCACCTCTGAGCCAACCTTACCCTCCTACTCTACCAGACACACCACATTCCTTGTATATACACCAAAAGTGAGCCACCATTTTGTATTTCTTAAAAAATAAAATTATAACAGTGGGAGAGAACCACAGGATGTAATTGCGCAGTTAGTTTTATGGGCTTACGTAAAAAAATAGTTGACAATATTTCAGCAACGAATAGTTAGCAATGAACTTCGTATTCTTTCTGTTTTTCTTTCAACTTTCAATTTCTCTCCCATTTCCACTTCTCTATATTCACTATTATTCTCTATACTTCTCTATTATCCTTCTTCTCAATTTTCTACTTCTACTTCACTTTCGTTCACTTCTTGCCTTCCCTTCCCCCAGACCCTTGGATTTCCCCCATTTTCTCTTTCGTGTTCACTCGCTGCCTTTCCTTCTCCCGACACCTTCGCTTACCTTGACTCGAATACTCGTACTGGTTTCCCAGCCGCTGAATCTCAAACCTTACCTTGACTCGAATACTCGTACTGGTTTCCCAGCCGCTGAATCTCGCCCATGTCGCTCTCAATGAAGCGTGTGAGAGGAAACATCATGCCATCCGTGAGCTGCGTAGCCAAGACCTGCTGCCACGAGCTGATCTGTGTGACAGCAATGATTACCATCAGCATCATCATCATCATCATCATCATCAT